ATATACACATATATATATATATATATACATACATATATATATACATATACATATATACATATATATATATATACATATACATATACACATATATATATATACATATACATATATACATATACATATATACATATATATACATATACATATATATACATATACATATACATATACATATACATATATATATATATATATGCGGGGGAAATTGCTTTTCTACAACCAACAATGCCAAACCCCAAAATATCAAATTTATGATATAAAACTGAGAAAAGCAGAAAATCACAACCATTGAGAAGCACGAGACCGCAAACTCGTGTTCTTTTTGCTTGAAAAATTACTTAATCCACCATCAAACGGGTTCCAGATACATTCATCACACACATCCACCGCTTTCTGATTGCAAGACCTCAACTTAACTCAGACTAAGGTACCACACGATGGGAGCTGATTCACAGGACACTTTATGAAAACCCATTGAACATACGTGGAATCATGCATCATGACTATTTATCTCAACACTGTGTTATACACAAAGCCAGCAAGTAGATGTTAACTACGCCTGGGACAGCTGCACACCCAGTCAGTCTTCAATCACCCCAAATTTAGGTTTACTGCACACTTCATTTGACAAACTATTTTTTTATATAACTAAATACATTCACACATATTACCTTCATTCTGTACTCCACATCACATGCACATAATCCAACCATGGCTAGTAAGGCATTACGAGAAAAGTTGCTTCTTGGACTGTGAAAGCTAGAGAGTACAGTTTGATAAAGTTCACGAGACTCTCTACGACGTCAGTGTTCAAACTCACAGGACAACATGGCCTTCAATAAATGTGGTACAGTTCATCTAATTGTGATTACCATATCATCCACAACAGAAATCTTATTCTGGTCCCACCTTACTAGCATTAGATATTAGATTATTGATGTGCATGTGAAAGTAGCCAATTCTCTCAAAAGAAAACCACAAGGTCATGTTCAAATAATTTACTTGTCAGTGTCAAAGATTGAGCCAACATTTCCTTTTTGTTCACAACAAATCCCTCTCCTCAAAGACATGAAAGATGAAAAGACGGAGAATAAAGTGGAGAAAGTGAAATCCAAAAAAAAAAAAAAAAAAAAAAAAAAAAAAAAGTGACCAGTCCTGCTTTGTCTCTGTGGGGACCTTGAACCTAAAAGTCAGCGTGTTGTAAAGCTTGAATTAAGTCCATTGAGTAGTTATGAAAAAGGCAAACGGCAGCTGTCATTTCCTGGATCCTGCTGCCGACTTTTGGCCGAGCTCCCTGGCTCTCTCGGTGGCAGATTCCACGGCGCTCATGGTGGCTGCTCTCACACCGCCCTGTTCCAGGGTGTGAAGCCCGTAGATGGTTGTTCCTCCCGGGGTGCAGACCTCAGCGCGTAGCTGCGCTGGATGCTTCCCGGACTCGCGTAACAATCTCCCAGCACCCTGCAGACAGATGGAACAGCGACTAGATTTAATCCTGGTGTATTCAAATACTGTGCTGGCACACATGAAACGTAGTATTCTTAAAAAAAATATTAAAGTTGCTAGAGTGAAACAAAAGCATGGTAAAACTGACCAGAACGGTTTGGGATGCGATGCTGTGTGCCAGAGCACTTGGCATTCCCATTTTAACAGCTCCTTCTGCCAGCGCTTCAGCAAACAGATACACCTGCAGAGAGGGAGGGATCACACGCATCACAATCAAATAAAACACACACGCAAGTGTTGATGACATGCATTACTGCAGAGTAAACTATTTACTCAATATCATATAAGCTTATTTCTGACAATAACACACTGTACAGCGTGTTTAAGCCGTTTCCACCTGGACAACAATACAGCTTTACATAAGTGTAATTCCCTGGTGGAAGAGAGCTGCTCAAGACACAACAAGGTTTGAGATGTGCTCGCCGCACATCACAGCATCCAATGTAGCAAAAAGCTGTGGCGGCGCGGCACAAGTGATTGGAAGTAATGGGTCTCAGAGTACAGTGGTTGCATTGTGTCGGAAACGGACCTTTGATGTACATTGACAATAAAAGCAGACCTGAGATTGATTGTGATTATGTATTGTCTACAAGTTGACTTTCATGTTGTAGTGAAATTACTTCAAAACAGTTTGAACAATGAAGGTTGGAAAACAGAAATCTAAAACAGTACCTTTCTCTGTTTTAATAAAAGGTTAGAAGAATTACAGGTTTCACTGTTTTCTTTCATTTTAACTTAATTAAATTACAGGCTTGAATCCAATCATCAATCAACATTAACTTCTTTGCTATGAGGTAGTCTTATTAAAAAAAAGTCATCAAGCAATTACCAATCCTTCCTTCTAAACAAACTATACAAATCCTGGGACACTCACAAAAGCGACTCCGCTCCCGCTAAGTCCGGTGTGGATGTCGATCCAGGCCTCGGGTCCCTCCTCCACCAAACCACAGCGGTGCAACAAAGAGTGAAGCAGAGCTCCGTCCTCCGGCCTTGCATGGGATCCCCGAGAAAACAGGAGAGCCCCTTCCTGAACCAAACACGGGAGATTCGGCATAAGCCTGATGACAACTGAATTCTCTGGCAGGAGCTTGGAATTGAAAGAGAGAAAAGAAATATATATATTACTCATCTCGAGACCACCACGAAAACCCCCATTTTTGTTTGAAAAACCATTACACGCGGGCTCGCACCTCCTCCAACGTTGCCAGCGTTACTCCTGCCGCTACAGACACAATAATGTGTCGGTGAGTGACGTGGAGGGAAATCTCACTGAGAACTGGTGGAACCAGGTGAGGTTTGACTGCTACAAAAACCACGTCTGACCCGCAGACCACCTCTATGTTGGAGTGAGTGACGGCAATCCCGAGCTCCTGAAAGCCAATGGAAGGGATGTTACTGACCCACATGTCCACCAGCATGTAGCCACACGTACACAAAGTCAATCCATGTCCACGGGTCAGGAAGAATAAACAGTTCACCTCGTTTTATATGCCACAGGTTGGATCATTTGTGCATCACAGTCTCAATTTGACACTAATTCATGTCAAATTAGTGTCACATACAGTTATGCTTGTTTCAGCGATACTGGTCAGCTATGACTGGAGCGTGGCAGCTATCAGGTGCACACATGCCGCTATGTGATGCAGTGCAAAACACTAAAGTTAGCTTATCCAAATAGCATGTGTGTGAGAGCTGAAATGTTTAGTTAAATAAATGTTAAGTTGACTGAAAATCAATTGGAAGCTATTTTGATGACAGTGTTTCATTTTACAAGCAAAAACATGATCTGGTTCTCGCTTCGCCACAGTTAAGACTTGCTGCTTCGCTCCGTTTTTATTATAAATCTTATATATTTTGATTATGGACAAGCTAACGTAAAATGTCACCTTGTACTCTTGGAATTGAGATGGGTTGTGATGATAGTGAGCTGAATATCTTTGGTTTTTGAACATTTGTAAACATCACCATGTCATGATATAAATTACAACTGTAATCCTTCACAAAATAAACAAGCAGATAAATCAATGATAAGCATAATTGTTCGATTCACTCCTAATTTGTATTAACTTAATAAAGGTATGTTTTAAGACAGACCTATCTGGACACACTTGTTTTGTCACCTAAGCTTAATGTTGCTTAAACCCTGTAAATGTAAATCTATTTGATGACAGAATATTACATTATTTTAAGTTCAAGTTTCTAATTTGAGAACATGAATTGCTAATTCCTGCACAGGAGGTATTCATTTGTACCCTGGAATTACTGTACTATATGCACATACAAAAAAAAATAAATAAAAAAAAAAATAAATAAAAACTTGACACCCGCAGGACTGAGCATCAGAACAGAAGATCAGCATAACAATAAATTGGTTTGCAGGTCGAACATCCATTAACGAGTAACCTGATCTTACAAACAGTAACTATGATCCCAACTACGACTGCTCACCGTCCTGCAAACCACCCCATCCTACCGACACTGACAGAAGTAAAGCAGGGAAAAAGTACCTGAAAGCGGCCCAGGTTCCTGGAGGATGGTGCGCTCACTTTGAGGTTTACAGGAGGAACATCTCCTATAACGGGAACACACAAGAGACCGTTAACTGCTTTATTTAGAACCTCTCTGCTCCGTTTCAACGACTTCCCCTCTCTCTCTCTCAACTCACCAGACAACATGCCCTTTGCAATGCCGAAGGCCATGTTCCCTGCACCAATGAAACCAATATTCGGCTGCGAGTCCACCTCAGGGTCCATTTTGATCTGAAGAAAAGGAGAACAGATTTGAGTGGAAACATTAACAACGGGCGACATCATTATTACCAAAAAACTATGGGTATGTAAATCACAGGATGACCTAGAACACAATGCTATCATGACAGTGAGAATGGTATCACACACACACACACACACACACACACACACACACACACACACACAC